AGATATTTAGTAAATATTTGAGATATATATGGTAGATATTTGGTAAGGAGTCGATATGGAGCTGATCATTTCTGAAAGATATTTAGTAAAGATCTGAAATATATATGATAGATATTTAGTAAAGATTTGATAAGATATATTTATTAGATTATATCTCATAGATTTAAATTATATTTAATAAATTAAAATTATATATATACCGTGCTCTTAAAAAACCCTTTCACCAATATTTCTTTTTAAATTTTCTCTCTCCTATTCTTTGTGTGCATTGTTGAGCGATTCTAACAATTGGTATCAAAACTAACAACTGATATCGATCCTAACAAAAGCGAGAGGAATGACTCAATTGGTGAAATAGTATCTCTCCAAGCATGTTGAAAAAAGAAATAGGAAAATAAGTAAATTCTTTTCTTTCTTTTTTTTTCATGGGTGAAGTGAAATTGTATAGTAAAAATAGAAATTTATCGGCCATATCAAGCTGAAAGCAGATACAAAGGCTTAAGCAAGCACTCATAAGTACACATTCATTCTTGCAGTTTACACAGCTTTACTATGGACTTTTCTAGCATCAGTAGATTGTAATACCATTTGGTGTTTATGCACCTCATTCAATTCTCAACAGGAACATATCAACATCCAAGATGCAATCGAATAACAGTACCCGGATTCTGTACTTGTAAACTGCATATCCCGCAATCCCAGTGATGGCAAGCACAAGGATAATAATCTTCACGATTCAAGCTCTCATACTTTGGGCCATGCAAATAGATACGGGGATTGTGTAGTAAGATTTTGCAAGTAAACTTACCAAGGCCGTAGTAATGAAATACATACAACAACGGGGCTTGGGGTTGCATTAAACTTCATAAAGGCGAAGGCCAGACAACGTAAAAACAGAAATCAAACTTATTCACGTTTGTCCTCCTCAGTATCCTCCCCGTGGCCATATAAGTGATCACCCGCAATTATTAGTCCCTTCCTTTCCTTCCTTTCCAATTTGGAAGCCATATCTCCTCCACTGGTCAAACAAATACCTTCTTCTTCCAAGTCTTCGCCTGTCTCCTCTGAATATGCGTACCTGCAATATCAATCGGCAACTTCATCGACTGAATTAATCATAATTACAGCGTTCCTAGATAATGTGAAAATATAAAGGAACAAACAACTATCACAAATTTTTATTTAAGATAATAAAAAACAAACTGTTCCTAGATAATATGAAAATATAAAGAAGACTAAAAAAATACCAAAAAAGACTAATTGGTGTTAGTAGTAAATTAATCATAATTGCAGCGTATTGAAAGGGTGGACCAAGTGGCCATTAAAATTAGCTCCCATATTTATAGTCTTTCTCCCTTCGACAAAAAAAAAAACAAAAAACAAAAAATCCAGAATTTATTGCTTTCAAAACCAATCATCGGATACTTTTTACTCCTCTCAAACAAATGGTGCATGCTCTCAAATCTAAAGTAAATATTCGGATTAGACTACCAAGTTTATTCAAACAGGCAGTGTTTTCCTAGAAATATGATTAAATTCCACATCTACCAAGGAAAGGGAAAGGTAAACATTGCCTAGTGGATAAATTAAGAAAGTTATTCCAACAAAAAACATGAGCATACAGCAAACAAACAAAAAAAAAAAAAAAAGTTCAGGGTCATTAGCCAGAAAGACTTGCACCTCGTAGGGTTACTTGATGGAGCCCAGAGTAAGCAGATCACACCAAGGAGACAAAATGACAGGCAAGTCCAAAAAGCTGGAATGATCCAGGCAATTCTCCATAGCTCACTTAACGGATCAGATGCATTGAAATATAGCTAAGTCAAAAAGAAGGGAAAAAAATTAGTCAATTCTTTGCTCACTTTTTTATTCGATACAAACCAGGGGCTTTTCGAAGTGTAGCAAACCTAAAAATTCAACAAGGTTGGGAAAAGGATGGTAAGGGGGACTCTATAATTCAACAACCAGTTATGTCTTATACTCCACAAGGGAGAATTCATCATGATTAATTTACATACACAAAACATTACCTCGAAGCCAATCCAAGCTATAGAAAGGAGAACAGATACAACAAGAGAATTGGTAAAGTTTCTATATAACTCCAGCTTAGCCATATTTCTCCTTATCTGCATCATCAAAACAGTATGAATAGGTCAATTCCAAAAAGGATCTGACAGATAAAATATCTCAAGCTAGCCATTCTCAGCATTCAAATCCATAATTCGTTGGGAGACAGGCTGCAGTATTCTACCACAGAGATTCAATCAACTAACTCGGAGAATAAGAATACATGGTTTATTTAATTGTTAAAAGAAAGGACTAAATGCAGTGACATCATAAATGAAGTTGTGAATGCGAGGATGTGCGTAACAATTACTAACTCAAACCCTGCATACCTGAAGTTTTTCTAATGTTCGTGACAAAGATGAGAAGATCCAGATAATAAAGCATGAATCCAGGAAAGCAACAGGTAGAACCAGAAAAAGCCTTGCTTTTCCATAGAAATCATTGATGTTACTTAGATGTTCCACAAGCTCAAGTGCCTCTGATGCAATAAAATACACAACACCAAGAAAGAGCAGTTTTGAAGTGATAGCACCGAGGGTTGGCCTCACCACTCCATAGCCCATTGAAACAACCAACAGAAGAAGGCGAGACAACGTCTTCTTCACAGATGTAAAGGTCGCCGCCCATATAGTAATTCCCATTGGTCTGCTTCCAGTTGAATTAAAGTTAGCATATTCAAAGTACCATATAGCCATTTCACACATTCCAAGAGCAATAACCGTTGTAATGTGGTAATGCAACTGTATAACATCCTTCCAATACTTAACAAACCATAGAAACCAGATTAGGCCGAGCAAAAGATATGCTAAAGACATGAGTTCATAAAATTTCATTAGAGGAGCCATCTTCCCTGGTAAATAGCCATCCGGATTCCTCCACACTGTTCTTCCCTCGATTATTGTGCCTTTGAGTTGTGGGTCACAAAACATAAAATACAGGTAGTACATACCAGTACTATTGATTTCAATAGTTTGAGGTGGAATGACAGCAGTTTCATCTTTCCCAACAAAGAACGTCTTGATGCGCTTAGGCCAGCCGGGGTTGTCGTGGTTTTCATTGATAATAACCTCGCCCGACTTGCAATGTCCAGCATCGTGAAGACTGCGTGTGCAGCAGATCATATCTGACTTTAGGAAAGAGCCTCCAATTCGCTCCCTATCTTTGACCTCGAAAATGATGGCCTCCACCAATCCGGTAAATTGCTGCATTTCATTCGTCTGACTAGCTGATTCTCTCGTCCTCACGAAAGTAACAGTTTCAAACCTACCATTTCAAAAATGAGGCTTAAATCCTGTATATACGATATACATTATAATATCTTGAGCAGACGAGCTAAGAAGCAAGAATCAAAATTACAAGGGAAGTCCCTAGAGCAAATGTAGGGTCAATAGTATAGCATTTAGGGCTTCTTCAAACAACAAGGAGAAGCAAATGTAGGGTTAACCGAAGGTAGAAGAGAAAGAAAAGCGTGATTAGATTTGTGAAGAGACGAATGCTTACCTGATGAAGGACTTGCCTTTGAGGGATTTGTCAGAGGAATTTGGGGAAGAAGAAGCGAATACCTTAGAAGCGAAAAGAGCCTCGCTGCCGCCATGGAAGAAGAAAGCATTTGACTTGGGGATGAAAAAGTCATTTCGATACTCGTGGATTGAAGCGTCAACCTCTATGAATCTGTCACACAAGAATGTCAATCCAACTACAAAACTGAACACCCAGGGTTTCCCAATCCCGATCGCCTTGTGACTCATCCCCGCCTCTCTGCTTCTCTCCGTCCGCTCCATAAATCATTTGGTAAAGGAGTCCGCTGGTCGTCGGTGACAGTAGATTAAGCCCAGGACAAAATGACGCACCATCTTTCGCTAATATTGAACGTCGTCGTTTGGGTTCAAATTAAAAAATATTTTGCATACAACGAGGCGGAAGGAATTACTTCTTTCTTTCTTTCTTAACATTGGGTTTAAAAATCATTACAAAAAAGAATTATAATTCGATTTTTCTACTTCATTTTATCATTTGCAGTCCTTTATTCCCAAAAACAATTCTCGTAGTCCATTCCGTTTATTTTTATTAAACATTTTTTTTAAAACTTCGGAGTGTCAAATAGGAAAATTTGAATATAGGGGAATATAGGGGAATATAGGGGAATATAGGGTATTAAGGGCAGTATATTCTAAATGTATGTAAGGTTTAAATTGATAAATTTGAAATGTTAGTGTGAAAATTACTACTACTATTTAAATCTTAGAGAAAAAATGGTTTTTATTTTTCTAAAACTAACTAATAAGAAGATTTTGAGTATGTATTCATTAATTGCTTCTAGTCTAAATTTTTTCACAATTTAAACGGACTGAGCAAACTTGTTTTTATGAATTGTTATAACACAGAATGGTAATGAAATTCAAACGAGTTTGAACCTTAAACTATTGCTTGGGAAGATGGGGACGTTTCCCTTGAAATAGTTTCCCTTAAAATTACGATTCAGAATGATATAGATGGTTTAAAATGAACCTGGACTCCAAGCATGACCACTAATGGGTTGGTGCAATGATCAACTAATTAAGCAACTTTATTGTAGATGAGGAAATTAATGGGTTAATTTCTTTAATTTGGCACTAGTGGAACACACGGGTTGCTATATTGCTAGCTTGCCCACAGCCACAAGTCAAATTATAGTGCTCCAAATAAAGCAACAACCTGATGAACCACAATTGGAAGGAATAAATTATTTAAATCAATGAAAGCCGCACGCATGTTGAGATGACATAGAACGGCAATCGCAGGAATGGGTGAACTAATTTGGTGACTTAGAAATGCGCTACGCGGCATTATAAATATTATTATTTCATAAATATAGTACGCAATTGGGTCAAGTAAATGGGGTCAATATTATGCATATAAAACAGGAGGAGTTGGTTTGGGTTTGGACGCCAGGAATGAGTTTTAAGATGGAAGAATTATACATTGACAGCACATTGATGAGCCTGAGCCTGTTGCTTGTGGTGGGGTATCACGCGCATCTGTGGCAATGCTTGAAGAAGAAACCTGAGAAGACGACCTGGGGAATCCAGCGGGAGGGCCGCAGAGCGTGGCTAGAGCTGGCGCTGCAGCTGGAGGGTGGCAGCATGCAGGTGGTGCAGATCTTGAGAAACAATCTGATGATCATAATCCTCAGAGCTTCCATATCAATCGCTGTAAGCTCCTCCGTGGCAGCCCTCACCAACAATGCTTACAAAACCCAACAACTATTCCGAAGCGGAACTCAATCGAGCGCCGCCAATAGTGGGCTGTTCGCTGTGAAATATGCGGCCGCCTTTGTGGTGTCAGTGTCGAGCTTCCTATTCAGCTCATTTGGGGTGGGGTTTCTGATCGACACCTGCATGTTGGTCAGCACTGCAACTGCAAGCACCCACATACAGAGACTGGTGGACACAGGGTTCGCCTTGGCTTTTATAGGCAACCGCTTGATGTGGCTCAGTTTCGCCCTCTTGTTATGGTCCCTTGGTCCTATTCCGGTCGCCCTCTGCTCCTTCGCATCGGTTTGGGGTTTTTCTTTTATTGATTTTGTTGGCAAATCAGTCAAACACATGTAGCTAGTAGCATTGATCTCTCAAAATATGTACTTCCTACATGCCCTCGTTGATGTGGATGTGATATTATAAAGGAATCAATCTTTGCAGCCTATAGTTGGGAATTTCGAAGCACGGTAACATGAGGTCAAATGCATTTCTTATCGTGCTTTGATTAATTAATCAATCAAATCAATATTTAATAAAATCAACTCTGTTGTTTTGAGTTTTGATAAGTTGAATCAAAGTTATGATTTATTCATAATGTTGGATTTTGATAGTTTGAATTTTCTCCTCTTTTTTAGGTTAAAGTTGGTAATGTTGATGCATTACACTTGATTTTAGTTGTATACTCCATTATGATAAAGTTAGTGATTGTTGGGCATTGGCCTGAGGTCACTCGCCTTTCGCCTTAGTCGTGCTTGCCTTGGAAAGAGTGATCGAATCTAGTGGCAGTTTGAACACCTAGCATTGCAATTGACTATAATTGAAGCTCTAATCCCAAAGTTAACAAGAATTAGGAAAGAGATTTGGTGACATGAGAAACTTATAAGAATCTTGCCCATTGTTTCCACAATGGAGGAAGATGTGTCCTTCAAATGCCTGGGAGATAAAAGCTGCAATCGCAAGGTTGTAATTTGGTTGACCACTTGGGAAATTGTGATGATCATCTATGGAAGTACCTTTTGGCTTAAAATATGAATCCGCCGGGCCGCTTTCCAGCTACAGCACGCAACCTTAATGACGCCTGTCAATTGCAATCACATTCAATCCACAAAAGACAATACCTAATTAATGAGAATGTACATTACATTATTCAAGTCAAAAGCCAACTCTTTGAGCTATTCTATTCGGTTGCCAATTGCTTGAGCTGGAGGTTGGCGGTGGAGGCAAACGACCAACAATCCACTCGGTTATTAAATAAACGATTAACCATTATATTACTACACAGGTGCAATGGTATGAGCCGGCAGCTTTCAGGGGCATGGGGCTTGAAGGAATCATATATTACTCTATGCTAGATAGAATAAGAACTTCAAACTGTCGATAGTAGTAATCACAATGATAACATTCCCCTTTGGCTCACTTGATAGTTGATATACATACAGCTCAATTAAATGAAGGATGAAGGATGATGGGGTACCTACACCTTAACCGCTACTGCTCTAAGTCTCTAAGATCCTGAGTCGTGTACTAGTAGAGTAAACCAATAATACATGGCAATCCTCCTAATCAATCGCACTTTGAGTTTGAATGCACTTTTTTCCAGAGCCCCGCGACCTCCGTGCAGCCTTTCTCCGTTTGGCTTCTCCTGGGGTGCTGCTAAAAATTCCAATCCTTCCAATCCCTTTGGACAGTGAAGTCAGGAAAGTTGTTCCGTTTCCGCTCTTAGACATCATCCCCTCTTTCATAAATGATTGCTCCTTCTCCAACTCACTTAGCCTCACGCGCATTCGGGATATCTCAAGCTTTAACTCCCTGTTTTCTCTCCTTAGAGAAGCATAATTATCTCTTGGTGACATAGCTGCGCTTCCTACTCCACTACTCATTCTTTGTGACATGAATCCATCGCCTACATTTACCGATATTGAATTCTTCAACCGCAGCTGCTCAAAGTAGAGAACTCGCACCGTCATATGCACTGGTAGCCGATCATTTTTTGCAGCATGGTTGCTTGCTTCTTGAGATAGCTTCTCGCAGTCTATCAAATGGCACACTCTCTTGCACTCCTCTTCTGTTAGCTTTGGGTGGGCCTGAATGTGAGCAATATTCAATAATGATAATGAACTGCTGTTCTAAATCGACAATGTTGGAAAATATATATGTTTTTACCTTCAAATAAATGTCAACTGCTCTATAGAGCCCATCATCGATAACTCGTGCATAATCAGGCAGTATCTCAATCATAGCAACAAACTTGTGCAAGCTCAAATATGGATCCGGGGCAATTTCAGCTAGATATGCGTCAATAAGTCTTCCAACTTTCAGCAAACAACCATGGTTTGGAGAAGCAAGGTCCTGGTCAGAGTCATATCCACAGTCTTCATTTTCTTCTTCCTCTACCCGCTGCAGAAAATTAACCAGCATCCTGTGAACAGTATCTACGTCAAACAACATATCCCCAACTCGAGTCGAGGGTATGAGGAGATCATCAAGTGAAACCATTTCCAACCGAAATGCAATCCTCCTCTCAAGCTCAAGCCTGCAGGCAATGTTAGTGTCCATCATGATAGCCATCCTCAACATCCCAAACAGAAAACTTAGTGGAATGATACAGCTTTTGTCTGTGGGCATTAGACTTACTAGGGTCTCCACTATGGTAATTTGATGATTTTGCAGCGCAAGAGGACTTAGTTTTGGCCTTGATGGGTTCCAAAATTGAGATTTGGATGTGCCCTCTAATGATGCCTGAGCATAGTGCATGAGAGATGCTACAATGCTGTCTGGTCGGATGCCTTTTCTTGCCATGGCACAAATGACCCTTTCATAAAAATCAATTTGTAGGGACGAGAGATCTTCAATCCACCACTCCAGAGTAGGGCATTTGAGGTCTGGGGAATCACCAACATAATCTAATCTAGACAGACCTGAGACCAGTTGCTCCTTGCAAGCATTCATGGCAATGCCCTCCACACATGCATCGGTTATTCCTACTTGCTCAGCTACAGGACTCAGACCCTCACAGGAGACCAGGACTTGCACTGATTTTTCGAGGCTATGGATCACAATCTCATTCAGGTACATTTCTGTCCGTGCAATAAGATTCTCTTCCCGATACTCTTCAGTCATTTCCAGGTATTCTCCAACGCAGCGCAGATGAGCCACGTTTGCAGTCGTGATTTCAAAATTCATTCCATAGCAGAATTTCACGGCAAGTTCAAATGCCTGAGGCCCGCCAGGTAAGTTAAGGAGCTCGAATTTCGTAGCACTACAGCCCTTACCATCGCCCACCATTTTTCGAATCTTCCCACTTCTAGCCACAAGCGGAAACTTGAAGGCACCAGAAGGAAAGAAAAAAAAAAACGCTTAAAACGCTTGCATTGCAGAACTGAGTTGTGTTTATGTTGTTAATTTCAGACTACCAAAACAGATCGGCCCCAGAGAAGAGCCATCTGAGGAGTGTTGTTAATTTCAGTCTTAAGAAGAAGGAAAAAATAAAGTTGAATCCTAATTTCTTCTGTAGAAATGCGCAGGAACACAGTTGGAGTGGAGGCAGACATGAGACCTTACATGCAAATGAAAAGAAAGAGGTTAGTTACCTTGTGCAGTAGAAATGATTCTCCATGGACGGCAATTGTAATGTCACCAGCAACGTCGGAGAAGATACTACAAAAGATAACACAATGTTTTGGTCAAGGAAGTAGAACAAAATAAGCATAATTTAAGGAAAGCAGGGCAGTGGGTGAGAATTCAGAAAAGAAGACTAGGGTATAGAACAGCCGGCGTTTTCTCCTCGCATGCAGGCCTAAGGACAGAGAGGAAGAGAGATACCGGGTGGTGGAGTTGCCGAGTTTGGGTGTGGAAGAAGCATTAATGGATGCCTCCGACATCAATACCATGTGGTTTGAGCTTCAGCTGCGCGTCACTGTTGTAATTTTGAGGGAAGGGAACATGAAATGAAAGTGACACACCGGCTTCATTATTATATTTTACAATATAGGCTCAACACTTTGGTGAACAACAACCGTTTTTATTATTATTAGTATTATTATTATTAAAATCTTAGCCTTCCTGACATATGTCTTTCACCCTCCCCCCACTGCTTTGTCTCAAGTGTGGCATTGAGTGGCCTGTTGTTTGTTTGCTCGTCTTTGTAGGAAACACTTCAATTCTCGCTTCCCCTCCGTTGTTATCTCAATGGGTCGACATGGTCATTCATCCGCCTCGTTCGACGCACTGACTGGGGGGTGTGGGGACACGGCGAGTTTTTATTAATCGGCGTACTAAAGTTTAGTCAAAGGGCGTTTAGTGAAAGGAATTGATTGGGGTCTTCCATTCCATCTCTCGCGTGGACTGACACTGGCGCGGAACTCGATAAAGAATAAAGATGCAATGGTGTCGGATGGGTATCTTGCTTGATTGGTCACTCGACCCAGTTTTTATAATTGCCAAGAAGAAAGCACGAAAGAAGAAATCTGCAATCCCAATAAATTCCACGGCAGCTGCTGCCTGAGAGCGTATGTGATTTTTACCAACTATTAGCTACTCGTCTCCGACGGAACCAACTATTTGCACCACACAGTTTCCAGTTCCAAGGGTGGCGTTGGATTGTTGGGAGCTTAACTCATGAAACTTGGCTTCCCCACCTTTTTTACACTTGGGCATCAAATAAATCAAAATATTATTGGTGATCCACATCATACATACAATCTAAGAAGATTACACACTATTTCAAAGTCACTAACACAAGAATAAATCCAATAATTATATTCGGTTTATATGACACAACCACCTCACCGGATACAAACCCCCAAACAAAACTACATAATCCTTACCCTCTCTCTCTCTCTCAATAGAAATGAGAAAAACAAAAAGACATCTCTTAACATTCTGTTGTTTAAAAATAAATAATAAATAAACTAAAAAAATATATATTTTTTTTCTTTTTCTTTTTCTGTACTTACGCTCATTACTGAATCCTAACCTTTGAGTGATCAATTCGCATAGTAGAGAGGGAATATGTAATGGAGAGGAGTGTGATCTCTCAGCGACCAGTTTTAGCCCGCTTCATCCCGCTTGAGTTGAAAGGAGAAACACTGCCGCTGGGGCCAGGACTTTCTTCTCTCAAATTTGAGTTCAGCAATGCTAATTCACGCAATTGTTGTCTTTTGATATAATCATTTGGCTCGTCCTGCGTACACATATATTGAATCTAGTAGTGAACAATAAATGCACCAACAAATAAATTGATCATCTCTATCCTAAAATCAAATTAAACTTGATGAGGAAAGTAAACAGTACCACGGGTTTGAGTAGTTCTTCTATAATTTCTTGTGCCTGTCTCAGCCTGATATCAACGGTATTGGGCGGTAAATCAGCCTCAATTAGGACATGCAGCGGTTCATTCAGGTGTTCATAACCAAGCCTTCCACGGAGTTTCTCTTCCTTGAGAGTTTAAAACAGTGATAGATAAAGAAATAAATAGCCAACCACAAAACTCAATGTTAAGCATCCAATGGTAAAAATGGTGGCTTAGAGAGAGTATTTTACACGAGGGTCTCATCCAAGCAATTTCACCTAAAATACCTTCTCTGGATCTTTAATTGACCCCTTTCCTCTAATATACACACGGCATCCTGTAGTAGCTTCCACCCGTTTCAGAAAATTGCCTCTGGGTCCAAGAAGCCGCCCAACAAAATTGAACTGACATCCCAGAAACCAAACAAATCAAAGTTTTATAACACATTTTTAAAAACACGTACTCAGACACTTGTTTAAAGAACTTACATTTGGGTACGTGTCCACTGGAATTTCCAACTGCAAAATCCTCTTTACAGTGAATGAACTAGGGCTTGCAGGAGCACCTTGCCAGTCCATTGTCATTCCTGGATTTCCACTTAACATTTGCTGTGAAAAGAAAAACAAGTGGCATCGGTGGTCAATTTTTTTAAAACATTTTTTAACACAAGATGGAAGTTTTTATCGGTTAGTTTATAATGTTGGAATACTATTCTTTCACATCTGTGAGCAACCAGAACTTGGGTGCTTTAACTTCAAAAATTAAACAACTATGGGAACTGCATGTTTATCAATAACTGAGTATTCTTTCAAGCAAAAGTAATGGCAGAATAGTAGCAGGATTATAGCACAACTCATAAATTTTATACAGACATAGGAAACAGATATTTTATTGAATATAATTCATAGATTTGAGCAAATACTTAAGCTTTGATACCGGCTTGAAAGCACTGCAAACAAGAATGCTTATGAAGACCCATTTTTATTTGTTTGTTGGTCCAGACATCATGAAATCTACTTCCTACACGACTTGCGAGTTTAATGACTTGAGATGCTATCTAGTGAGGCCCAGGATTTATATGTGGGTGGGACAGAACTGTGGAACAGGATAAAGGAACAGAGGAGCTGTTGGGGAGTTGTATATAAAATTTTCTTTTCCCTACCTATAACAAAAGTTCAGTGAAACAATATTTATTCAACTGTTTCTTAAAGATGGTTTTCTTCTTTTTCTTTTTCCTTTTCTATAGCTTGCTCTCACGTGTGCGGTGTGCTCTATTTTTGAGAACAGCAATTGTTCTTCCTTTGAAAACAAAAGCCTGTAAATAGTTTCCTAATGATGACTACACTTTTGTTTAAGCAGCTTGATCATATTTTTCCAAACCAAGTATTTTGAACTAAACTGCATAGAAAACTCAAATTAGCTCCTGAGTTGCTCAAAAATAAAAAGAGTTCCCTAGACTTGAAGTTTTCTTGGCCAACCATCAAGTAAGTTAGGATAGAACTTTAAAACGGTGGCAGGTAAATTTTTAAGTTACCTCCTGAGGAAGTCCATTCCAGCCGCCAAAACCTGCGCCAGAAGCATTTGAGACGAGGTTAGAAGAAGGCATTGGACTAGGGCGTCTTTGTGGTAATCTCTCCGAGTCACTAAAACCTTGGTTGGACATCATTCCAGAAACCCGCAAAATCTCTGCACATATAGTTTACTGTCAAATGTAGATACATACCACATTACTTCTTCATCCATTTAATATGCATTACTGTCTAGGTGGGGTTCCGAATATTTAGTTAGATTTTTATGTAACATAACCTACAGGCTTCAGTTGATCATTAATATATATCCCATTTTATTATCTCGCATTTCATTTTCTTTTTCTGCTTTTCTTGGATGTGAGTGATGATCCAACGCCGTCTTTTAACGTGGTGAAAAAACATATATTGATTTGAAATATTTTTGTAGGCAAATAATGTGATAGTGAACAAATTAATGGACAGGTATTTGATTATTTGAAATGCAATGGAGTGTTAGGATGGGTAAATGAATGAAATTATATTGTAATATGGAAGAAAATTACATTGGCCTAGAATTCGGCCTACAAATCCTAAACTCACTCGCCCTATAACCATAAGCTTGAACAAACTTCTGAAACAGTTACATTCCTACTCCCACTATGTCTCTACTAATACTCTTAACTCATCTAGATTATGGTTCAATTTAATGCCTCTGCCTTGTACCATAATTTTTTCTGCTTCAGAACCTGGTTAAACAACTAAAACTAAAGGTGAATTACTGTCAATTCAACTCAACTCACTTGCATGAAGGCTTTAGGAAAAGAAAAGTTTGACTGAAAGCAACTAAAAGTGAAAAAAAAAAGGGGTGACTCCGAAATATAAAATCTCAGATTAGATTTTTATGTGAATAGTGAGTAGATTTAATGAAATGAAATGAAAGTGAAGTGGTAGTAAGATGTTATAAAGAAAGCAGTAGGCAAAGAGTGAAGGGTGGGGGGCGATGTTACTAGGAAAGCATAGGAAGGATTTGCATGAAAGCAGGGAATGAAAACTACACCTTGATTCAAAAGTCGGCTACAAATAGGAAGGATTTGCATGAAGGGTCCGAGTTTGCGATGCTCGGCCAACAGCTCCGACAAGTAGTGGCTAAAGAATAAACCCCCACACAGATCAGAAGAAGAAGGAGAGGAAGATGAAGAAGAAAATGAAACAAATGAACCTACCTGTCAGCATCAGCGCTGCTTCTAATCTGAGGAGAAGCAGCTCTTGCAGGAGAGAAGTTGGGATTATACAAACCTGACATTACTTCTTGGGTCTCTTTCTTTAAACTATTCGGAATCTCAACCAACAAAACAACAGGAAGGGAAACAGTTCTCAGGTGCTGTTGATGCGGAAGACACAAGCACCAATACCAATACCAATACCAATACCAATACCAATGAAGGGAAGAGGTAGAGGAAGCGAAGGAAAGGAGAATTTGCAGAAAGAAAGCCTAAATTTTTTCTGAATACTAGGAAATTTTTAGCCTAAATTTTTACCCACGCAATGTAGTGTTGTGCGTATTCACCGTTAGAGAGACAAAATTGTATGAGACAAAAGTAAAACGAAATAATTGAGAAGAGAAAAAACTGAGAATAAAAACAACTGGGAAGAGGTGGAGTGGAGGTGTCGGACAAACAGCCGCATCTTTCCAAGGAAGCTAAAATCAAGGCGGTAAAAGATTTCCCAATTTTTGGCGCCCAATCTCACTTTCTCCACTGCCCACTGGATTTGAGTTTTACTATTGTAATTTACGGATTCTTTTCCTATTCGGATGTTTCCTTCAACTGAACACACACCTGTTAGGCATGCAAAGCTTGAGATTTGACAAATAATGGGCCTGCGGTGTGATGCGATGAACAGCCCAATATCAACCTAAGTTATTTCCTATAAATAAGCTAGTGAGGAGCATGAGAACGCGTACATTATTTGAAAATAACTTCAAATTTCTATTCATATATTTATCAAATATGAAAATATGTGGATTCTTAATTTGTATTGACCCAGGCGGTGGGTTCTTTGAACTAATTTGGTTATTGTTAATATAATACGTGGTTGAAGGGAGAATACCCAAAGCAAAGTAAAGCAAAGTAAAGCAAAACAAAACAGATAAACATAGAAATATCCAAGGTGTTACAACTCCGGACGACGTTGTGGGAGTGGAATTACGGGAATGAATCAGCAACTCCGGACGATAACGCTACGCATCATGTCCTTGAATTCGAAGAAATCAACCCGGCCGTCGCGATTGCTGTCAACCGACAAAATCATCTTCTGAACCCTGTCCAGCTCATTCCCCTCCGACAATCTCAGCTTTCTTAGAACCACTTGGAGTTCGGTGGCGGATATGTACCCATCCCCATCCTCGTCGAATACCCTGAATGCCTCCGATAGATCCAACTCTTCCTGCGACACCGGCGACATGTTTGTTTCCCTCTTCTCCTCCTTCTCCTCCTCATCCTCCACCGGCTCCCTGAAATAGGTGTCGTTTAAGAACTGGTGCAGGGCTGCAAAGTCTTCGAACCTAAGACCAACATTTCCCGGTGCGATGAAGGAGTTGACCGTGGAATCCAGGTCCGATTCATCAGCATCCAGCCCAAGAAGCCCGAGAGCTTGACCCAGCTCCTCCGTGGTGATCATTCCGTCCCCATTCTTGTCGAACATGTCAAATATGCGACGCAGGCGAAGGGAGTTCAGGCTGGGGCACCGAAGCCGGAACGACAAAGAGGAAGACGAGGGTTTCTTCGTCAGGCGGGGTCGGGGAACATCTGAGGCCACCGCTTCCATTTCCAAGATTTCGAATAAGCTGCCTGCCCAAAGGAATCAACACAAAACAACAAGAAACACAAGAGAATTTGGGGGATGAGGGGAGGAGATTTTTAAGGAGGGGAGGGACCCGACTTGTAAGGAGGGAGGGAGGGAGGGAGGGAGGGAGGCGACCTTTTTTGTTTAGAGAATAGGGTAGGAGACTTTTAGGGAGGGAGGGAGGGAGGGAGGCACTCTTTCCATTCTCATCACCCGATTAATATAACAAATCCCGATTTGGATCCTGCTTGGGATGAGAATGAATTAAGAAATTAATTAGGAATTAAAAACATGAAATAAAATGGATCTAGTCCTCGCCCCCGGGTAAAAGCCCAACCCCACTTCTCTCCTTTTCTATATCCACAAGAGCACGTCTGCGCTGCCCCTCCCTCTCTTTCTATTTCCACTTGTTCTAGATTTTAGTAGTCAACCACTTTTTATACTTAAGAAAAGTATTTACGTATATCTTACGTTGTACTTGTCTTTCTGTAGTGCCCATTCAATGTCTTTGCTATTGTCACAAACTCTTCCTTATTTCTCTAATAATACATTTTTTAATTTCATTTGTTGTATAGTTGAAATGAATTGTCACTATTTATTTAATCAACATATTCCACACTTTTTTTTCTTTAAAATATAATTGCACTACTTTGAAAAGTCCAAATTTGTGGCCTACGTTAAATTTATTCACTGTGAGAAGATGAAGAAATCGTGTTCACAATGAATGGATCAAACTTTGGGCAACCAAGTCAAACCTATCTGCCCCTTCCATACATTGCTCCCACCACTAGGTATCTGTTTTGGAACAGATTCCACCAAAACTTGAATTTTTTTAGCTTTCAAACTTTGGTTGGATTTTGAAAACATTTGTAGAAAGCCAATAATAAAGCAAAGAAAAACAGGGACGAAAATACTTTTTATAACCTTAACTTCAAAACATTTAAAATCAAAATTTAAATGGTTCAGACAGTAGGGTATCTTGCTCTATTATATTTGATTATCAACCAAGACTATTCTTCAGAGCATCCAATCCTCATAATCAGTAAATTAATTCAAACTAAGATGTCACCCAATTCATCACGAAATTCATAATTTCTTTATTAGCATTTATTTTATTGGTTCACTTGATCACTCGATTTCCTTACACGAAGAGCTTGTCCTGAGCTTGCACTGTCTCCGGATACTTTGGCTGCAATGAATCCCGGATTACTTTTAGCTGCAATTTTGTTCAAAATGGCTTCCGTAATTGATACCTATCTCTGGCAAAAAAAAAAAAAAAAAAAAAAAAAAAAAAAAAAAGAAAAGGGGGCCATCATCTACATACATCAGGGATTCATAATGTTCATCAAATTCACTTTCCGTCGTCATATTCTGATTTCTCGTCACTGAAAAAGAAAGGACGGTAGTAGGAATAGGATGATTTAGTTAATTAGGCGGGCATTTGCTTCATGGTTGATGTTGATGTTAGTTGTTTGAGTTGAATTCCGATTCACTAGTCGCCATTGCTGCAGCAGGGCGTGAATCAAAACTAGAGCTGAAGTTCAATTTATAGTAGGGTTTTAAGGAATTTGAGTTTTCTATTGGAAGGCGAGAAACAAATTTCATTAATTTCAGTTCTAGTTTTATTCATTAGACGCTTCCTGTATATACATCCCAGAGTTGAAGTCGGTCGCTATATACAAATCCTGGGAATGACATGGGATGGGATTGGATTGGATTGGATTGAACTGGATTGTTATGGGAAACAAAAAGAAAAGCACATCTATTGGAACCACTAGATTAGAGCAAGGAAGAAAGTCTAGATTTTGTCTGGATGATTACATCAACGCAGAAGCTGGATTCCGCTCATCCTGTAGAGGGCTTAATGATTTGAAATGAGCATAGCAAACTGGAGTCGACGCACATAAAAGCTCCTGCGTTATCGAACTCCCCGCAATAATTGGGCGCTGAAAATACTGTAACCAGCTGCCTCTCTGCGAAAAACTCATAACCGTCCTCAACTACCTGGAGGGAAGAAAATGTACAAGAATCAGAGCATGAGAATTGGCCAAAGAAAGAAAGAAAGAAATAGGGAGCCGCACACACCCACCTGGTGAGCGCGGCATATTAGATCGAGGTCGTGTTTCTTCAAGAAGTCGGTGACTTTGTCTGCGCCGAAGGTGAAGGAAACTCCCCTGTCATTTTCGCCCCAACCTCTGATGTCTCTATCTGGATCGGCCCAAAGAAGATCGCAGAGGAGGCCCTGGTCCGGTACGTCGATGGGCCTCTCTATGTCTCCCACCTGGTTTAAGCTGAGCATTTCCGGGGAAAGCCCACCATGCATGCATAGGATCTTGTCGTCTATCACAGCCGCCACGGGCAAGCAATTGAAGCAATCTGTGAAGATCTTCCAAAGACGGACGCTGAAACGCCGTTTGCATTCATCGTAAAATCCGTAGATCCGGTTGATAGAAGCACATTCGTGGTTTCCTCTGAGCAGGAAAAAGTTGCCGGGGAACTTGACTTTGTACGCAAACAGAAGGGTTATGGTTTCGATGCTCTGTTTTCCTCTGTCCACGTAGTCCCCCAGAAAAAGATAGTTGGCGTCCGGAGGAAATCCACCCATCTCAAACAGTCGCAGCAGATCCGGATATTGGCCATGGATGTCACCTAGGCAAACAACACAATTTAAAATCAAATCAAATCAAATTCAACTCTTATAGATTAATTAGAATGTATACCACAAATGTTAATCGGAGCTTCCAATTGTAAGAGATTGGGCTGGCTGAGGAATACTTGTTTGGCCGTGATGCAAAGCTGCCGAATTTCGGGTTCTATTAGCTGAATCTTTTTTCCTTTGTTTTTCCTTCCTTCCATCAGCCTGTCTATAAGCCCCTCCAATCCTTCCATTCCCACCGCCCCTCTTCTCCCAATAAGCAATCAATCCGACCGATCTCGTTTTAGCTCAGCAATGAACAGTGAACAACCGACAACCAACAACCAACAACCAACAAATCAAACAATGGTTACACAGTTTGGGGATGAGATTCCAGTTTCACTTTTTCCTCTTCTTCTGTTTTCAGCGGAGATTAAAAAATAATAATGAGAATAAAGTCATGAATTTACGGGTACCGGAGAGTGGCCTTTGTTAGCCAATAATCACTAACCGCCCCTCCCTCAATATTAGGGGTCTCATCTCCAATCTTGGACCTCCTTTAACACCACTAATGACTACCCTAACCTCTTCATTTTTCCACTCTTCTAATTCCCTTTTTAACTTTCCTTCTTTCCCTCCATTCTTCTCACTCTTTAATTACTCTATTATCTACTTATCTCCATTTTTTTAATCGCTCTTAATTCAAATACATAATTTATTAGATTGTTTTTCCGCCAGATTCATCCAAATACATTGATATATAACAATTTTGTTTTTAGTTTTTTGGTTTCAAAAATTAAGATTATAAATCCTATTAAAGTTTTTTATTTTTTTATTTTTTTATTCATACCATAAATTTCAATAAATGTCCACTGTATTGAAAACATATATTCTAGAGCAAACACGATGTATAAGTTCGATTGACATGACAATCTTTTTTTCACTCAATAAGATGAAGGGGAAGAATGTTGTTATAGCATTTGTATTTATAAAAGGAAAATTGTGTGTATTTATATGATGTACAGTGAAAGAGAGAAGCAAGCGGAAAGGCATTAAAAAAGAGGAGCATAGACAAAGATGTGGTTGATTTTTTTATGGGGGGTATGGGGTAGAGAGGCGTAGAGGACAGCAAAATCTCTCATGGAGTGGAAGAAGATCCAAACATCTGGTCTAGTAGGACGAGGAGGGCCATGGCTACTGTGGTATCTATCTGAGGCTGGACGACGAGCCGGAATACGTCCATCCCGAAGCTCATCCCTCCCGTTGCCTCCTTGCGTTTTATCTCCGCCACTATTCTCCGCTTCTCATCGTACACCGCACAGCATCTTTTCCCGTAACACCCCTCGATCTCATACGTACACATACCCATACCTGACCACGATCCTTCAACAATACGAGCCAAGCACTTGGATTTAAGCAGATTCATTTGCTTCCTCGCCGAGAACCGGGGATTCACGCCACTTTCTCCCTCGTAAACCACCCAGCTATCGGCTAGGCTCAATCTCTATATGTATGCATGTATTTTATATTATTAAACCACAGTTGTTTGTGATTATATAAAACTCAACTAAAATAGAAGAGAGCGTGCAAACAGTACCTTGCGACGGATGGTGAAAAGAGGGTTGCCGGCGGCGTCCATGAGAAGGATCTGGGCCTTATTGCCGGCGAGGTAGTTGTCGACCCTGTAAGCCAAGTTACCGTTGGCGTCAAACACGGTAAACCCCTCACAGTTTAACAACATAGATTTCTTCCACACGGTGAGGACAGTCTGGGTGGCGTCGGTTGAGGAGGAGGAAGCCCCGTTTGGGAATACCTTTGTCATTACTTACAATAATATTATTTACCTTCTCTCCTTCTCCTCGTGTGTGTGGTCAGGTTTATGTATTTATATTTTGGTAGTAGAGCAGACGAAGAACGTGCGGCTGCCCTTGCCCGCCTGCCTACCCGGGGTGAACGCGAAACTCCCCGTCCCCATCCCCATCCCCATCCCCATCATGGTGTGATGTCTCTTTGTTTGATTATGGACTTTGGACTTTGGACGGGGGATGACAACAAACAATTGTGACGGAGGGGAGAGAGAGAGAGTTCCACGCGCCCCTGTTGTAGTTCAATTTAATTTTATATTTATAATATGGCGATGCCCACCACAGTAGTTTAATATCCCAGCCTATGCCCTGTCTTTCCAAATATTCCACGAGTGCTGTTAAATTATTCTCACCACCATAGTATCCCAATAAATTATACAATTTTTAGTGGCTCAGAAGCAACGCCCATCCCGTCACCCATCGTTGTCTAACATATTTATTTCCTATTACTATTTTATATTTACAATTTTGGTCTTGTATTGGTGCGGCTGCCGCATTCAACTTAAATTATTGCCCCTCTACGGCTTGGGCGGTTGAGTTGGACCATGACCAATTTAGCCTTTGACTTTCTCCGCCCCTCCATCCATCTATCACTAGTCATAAGTGAATAGTACGTAATGGTGTATCCAAATTACATTTACACGACGACTCCGCCAGGGGCCGTGGCCATGTGAACAAAAATTGTGCATCCACATAAACCGATTCCATTCCGTTCCAATCCATTCTCATTTCACTGTGGAAACTAGAACTTATACAACAGTTGATACACGGAAAAGAAACTGTTTGAAGGTCTTGCTCCCAGATACTTGTATGAAGCTCAGGAATTCCATGTGCGCTTATAATCTTAAAATAATCTTTTTTATTTGATGAGATTTATATAAAAAGTGACAAAATATCATTTTTCATTACAACTGTCGATGTATAGGCTAGCTTATGACATACATCAACTAATTTTACAAGCTAACTACCCAACTCTCTGCAGCATTCAACGTGAAGAAACTTGTGCAATGCTCACCCATTGTGCTTGAAATCAATAACCTCAAATGCACCCGTATAAATAATGCTTCGGTCCCCTCTCCAATCGACGTGGGATCTCACAATCCACTCTCTTTGGAGGCCCAACGTCCTCGCTGGCACACTGCCAGGTGTCCGACTCTGATACCATTTGTAATGCCCATTACGTATTGTCGTCAGCCTCACAGTTTTAAAACGCATCTGCTAAGGAAAAGATTTCCACACCCTTATAAGAAATGTTTCGTTCTCCCTCTCTAACCAATGCACGATCTCACAATCCACCTCCCTTGGGGGCTCAACGTCCTCTCTCGCCCACCTCCCGGTGTCCCTTCTTCGTTTAAGCTACGAGCCTTCATTCAAATCCCATAGCTTAGTTCCCTGCTTGACACGAGTGGGCCAGACATAAGCACACTTCGATCCCGACCAAGCGGAGTTGGGAACCATCCAATCATTTTAATGCCCAAACTTAGATCATAAGCTTGCGGTGGGCTTGGGAGGTTACAAATGGTATTAGACCCAGACATCGGGGGATGTGCATTGTGAGATCCCACATCAGTTGAAGAAGATAACAAAACATTTCTAACAAGGGCATTTGGTCTAGTGGGTGATATGATTCTTGCTTTGGGTGCGAAACGTCCGAAATTTGATTCTCAAAATGCCCCTTCTAGAACTTCCTCTTATGCAAAGTCCTACCTCCATTGCTTCAACAACTTTGAATAATGTTGAGACAACGTCTTGTGCATACATCTTCATAGCTACTGCCTTGAAGTTTTGTAATCTGAGTTGGTCTATCAGTGATAAAATCTTCTCTGGTAAGTCTTGTCAAAGCCGTAGAAGGCAATAGCTATGGGCTTGGGAAGTTACAAGTAGTATCAGAGCTAGACATCGGGAGATGTGCATTCTGAGATCCCACATCAGTTGAAGAAGATAATAAAACATTTCTAACAAGGGCATTTGGTCTAGTGGTATGATTCTCACTTTAGGTGTGAGGTCCTGAGTTTGATTCTCGGAATGTTCCTTCTAGAACTTCCCCTTATACAAAGACCTACCTTATTTATTTCATTAATGCTCCTACGACTTTGAATAATGTTGAGCCAACTTTGAATAATGTTGAGCCAACTTCCTTGAAGTTTTGTGATCTGAGATTGTCTACTGGTGATAAAATCTTCTTTTGTGCGTCTTTGGATAATGTTGTTCCTCAGAAAGACCTACCTTATTTATTTCCTTATACGGCTTTGAATAATGTTGAGCCAACGTCCTTGAAATTTTGTGATCTGAGTTTGTCTATTAGTGATAAAATCTTCTTTTGTGAGTCTTGTCAAAATGTTGTTCCTCTTACACAAAGACCTATCTTATTTATTTCCTAAATGCTTCTACGACTTTGAATAATGTTGAGCCAACGTCCTTCAAATTTTGTTATCTGAGTTTGTCTATTAGTGATAAAATCTTATTTTGTGAGTCTTGTCAAAGCCGTAGAAGGCAGCAGGGCATGGCAGGTTACAAATGATACCAGAGCCAGACACCGGACAATGTGTATTGTGAGATTTCACATCGGTTGAAGAACATAACAAAGCATTTCTAACAAGAGCATTTGGTCTAGTGGTATGATTCTCGCTTTGGGTGCGAGAGGTCTCGAGTTTGATTCTCGGAATGCCCCTTCTAGAACTTCCTCTTATACAAAGACCTAGCTTATTTATTTCCTTAATGCTTCTACGACTTTGAATAATGTTGAGCCAACTTCGTTGAAGTTTTGTGATCTGAGTTTGTCCATTAGTGATAAAATCTTCTTTTGTGAGTCTTGTCAAAGCCGTAGAAGGCAATAGGGCTTGGGAGGTTACAAATGGTATCAGAACCAGACACCGAGCAATGCGCATTGTGAGATCTCACATCGGTTGAAAAAGATAACAAAGCATTTGAAACAAGGGCATTTGGTCTAGTGGTATGATTTTTGCTTTGGGTACGAGAGGTCCCGAGTTCGATTCTTGGAATGCCCCTTCTAGGACTTCTTCTTATACAAAGACCTACCTTATTTATTTCCTTAATGCTTTTACGGCTTTGAATAATGTTGAGCCAACGTTGTGATCTGGGTCTGTCTAATTAGTGATCTGGGTCTGTCTAATTAGTTATAAAATCAGTTTGTATCTTCTTTTGTGAGTCCGTAGAAGGTAATAGCTATGGGCAGAGCCAAATACCGGACGATTTACATTGTGAGATCTTACATCGGTTGAAAAAGATAACAAAATATTTCTAACAAGGGCATTTGGTCTAGTGGATTGCTTCTACAGCTTGCCTAAAGTTTTGTAATCTGAGTTTGTCTATTAGTGATTAGTGATAAAATCTTCTTTTGTGAGTCTTGTTAAAGCCGTAGAAGGTAGTATCTATGGGCTTGGGAGGTTACAAATGGTATCAGAGCCATACATCGGGTGATGTGCATTGTGAGATCCCACATTGGTTAAAGAGGAGAACAAAGCATTTATAACAAGAGTATTTGGTCTAGTGGTATGATTCTCGCTTTGGGTGCGAGAGATCTTGAATTCAATTCTCGAAATACCGCTTCTAGAACTTCCTTTTATACAAAGACCTACCTTATCCGGATGAGTACCGGTTTCACTCCATTGCTTCTATAGCTTTGGGTAATGTTGTTTAAAAGACCTAGGTTATTCATTTCCTTAATGCTTCTACGGCTTTAAATAATGTTGAGCCAACGTCCTAGGCATACATTTGAGATAGAGTCATTGCTACTGCCTTGAAGTTTTGTAAACTGAGTTGGTCTATTAGTGATAAAATCTTCTTTCGGGAGTCTTTGTCAACAAAGAAAGTCACATGCACTTCCCTTTAATTCTTCATTATCTCTTACTACAAAGCCATTTGAACTTGAACATTGATGTGTGGGGACCTTTTCTGTCACGACCCGAAAAAAAAACATAATCCTTAAGCCGTGACTAACATTGTATGACATGTAATGTATAAACGAGAAATTCAAGGAAGTCATTTGTTTCAAAGAAAAACGTATCTTTATTAAAAGGACATAAGTGCCCAGGTAAAAACACGAAAAGAAACATTAAGGTCAAAGTGAACTATTCAATATACTAGACTGACGCCCCGGGACACGCTTCCTCTGTGACAACCCACATCGATCGACGCGCCCTCTCTTGACTCGACGCCTCACGTACCTGAAAAAAAAATAAAGGTATAACAGGAATGAGTATAAAAATTATACTCAGTAAGCCACCTACTTGTAGGCTCTTATCGCACCCTAAACTTAGCAGACGATCACGGACTTTCCTTTGGCTCTAGAACAACTGAATCTGGCCTTACCTCATTAGGGCTTACTCTCTTGGAACTTATCCCTTTGGACTTCTTCTTTGGTTCTTAGACCTTTTATTTAAACCCATAGAGTTCCTTTTTTTTTGCTAACCTGTGTTGGACTGGTGCCTTACGAGTGGCTACCTCGGCATGGGTATGAGATTATCTGGGGTCTTGCCTAGGAAGTGAGCTGCAACCCCCTAGACCCATGATAATCCCCCTGTATTTGGGAGGGCTACCTCCCCTATTCCATCCAGCTAAACGGTCAATTACGACGTGGGTATCCCGTTTCCCATACTAAACGGCTATCGAGCAGTCGAGTCCTGATCAGGAACCCGCTGGTCCCCCACGAAGCTATATCACCATCCACACACAAGTAGCCTAAGGGTACTCTAAGGATGTTTCATGTGCCGTGATGGTCTGTTAAACTAATAGGGAAAGGTTAAGTCTATCCCTTGATGGCTTGCCGCTCTAACCATAGTCTTCTAGCCTTATTCATAAAGGTGGCCATGAAAATAACCGAGTACGTACATAACTATTATCCAAAAACCTCAAACACATTTCATGCAAAGTAATCATACAAGCTCGACGGGGTGATAACATCCATCAACTCCCGGAGCACAGAGTTCGCAATTTTCCCATCCTCCATTCAGCAAAAAGATATACATATGCATGAAATAAAATGGGAACTAAAAGCATATAAGCAGTATCCAAGTAACGCTCATAACAAATCACAGCATACATCTTACTTTCAATAATCTATTCCTCCAAGAACATTACGGAAAGCTACAACCTAAGGTAATTCAAACTAGCATGCATGCATCCCAAGCGGTTCCTACAAGTATTACTTCCTAAATTCCGTGTGGCGACTTACTTGGATGCTACGTGCCCTTACGCAGCGTTTCCACACACTTGGCGTATCGAGAGGGGGTGATTTTTCCTCAATAAGGTCCTATTTCATACAAACAAATGGAGTTAGGATATGAATCAGGGGGAAACTAGGGAAAACAGAAGTCGTTCGGGCCAAAAATCAGCTTACACGCGCCTCCACGCGCCAGTCACACGCCGGGGAGCAGCCACTCGCAGATCCCACGCGCGAGTGTCACGCGCCCAGAGATTTCTGCAGTCGCGGGTCCGGGTCGCGTAGCCAGAGACGCGTGTTGCAGGAGAGCTGGAGCCGCGTTTTCCCAGGCGGCGCTCGACGCGTGTCCGGGGGCGATTGGCGCACGCGGCCCTCTAGCTGGTTGCCACGTGGTACGCCGGCGGTTTTCTCCCTCCTCCTAGCAGAGAATCAAAGTTTTCCGGTTAGTTTCCGAGGTACTCTCCATTTTCTGTTTTTCGATTCTCAATCAAACAGAAATGGTTTCTTCAACAACGATTTAGATCATCTATCTACCTACGTGCTAGTATTTCTTTCTTGATTTTGTTTAGTCATAAGGTGAGTTATGAGCGTCGGAAAGAGTCCGGTCAAATCCTTACCGTTCTTGGGTGGTCTCTCCGATCTCGTCGTTTCGTCCGTTTTCCTCACCAAGATCAGCGGCGAATCTTCCCTAGAAGAAGGTAGTAGACTTAATCATTCTACTCCTCAACAAAGATCCCAGATCTGGAAGGTATAGTTCGAAATCTTACCTTGGGTTTTTTTTTTTTTGTTTCTGATCTTGAGGGAAGAGGAGGAAATCTCCACACGAGTTCTTACTTCACTCCAAGAAGGGCTCCAGAGTACAGGTCTTAGTAGGGAATGGATCCTATAGGCGACTCTCCGACGAAAACTCCGGCAAATCCGTTCTCTCTCTCTCAAACCTTCTCTCAGTCCTTCTCTCTCACTCTTCTTCCTTTGCAGGAATTCTGAGGAGGACGCTCAAGACCCCTATAATGGGCTGAGGGGTNTTTTTTTTTTTTTTTTTTTTTTTTTTTTTTTTTTTTTTTTTCTTTTCTTTTTTTCGGACGTTACATTTTCCCACAGCCTCCACTTGGGATTATTGATATTATATTAGCATTGTTGATAACATCACTCGTTCACTCACATATCCTTTTAAATCCAATGGTGAATCACTCTCTGCCTTCATTCAACTTGACAGCAAAAGATTAAAACCTTACAAAGTGATTGGAAGGGGAACTACGCTTGTTTACCTCATGCATAAAAGACCATGGAATAGCTTTTGGACACCCTTGCCCACACACAAGCCAACAAAATGGCATTGTTGAATGCAAACACCGCCATATAGTCAAGACGGGCCTTTCTTCCTTGCTCAAGGCTCCATGCCCCTCTTTTGGTCAGATACTTCCATCTCCTATGTTTGCCTCATAAAGTGGCTTGCAACCCTAGTTTAAATAATATTTCTCCATGGAAAAAGTTTCATAATAGATCCCCTGACTACATCTTCCTTCACTCCTATGGATGTGCTTGCTTTCATGCCTTCATCCCTACCAATCTCATAAGTTGCAGTTTCACAACACCAAAAGTGTCTTCCTAGGTTGTAATGAAGCTGACAAGGGTTACAAGTGTTTACGTTCAACGACTATTTATTTCTTGTCATGTCATATTCAACTAGTGTTTTCTTTAAAGATGGTTTTCTAGTCTCCTCTATTTCCAAGAGTCAATCCATTGATACTGTTGTTAACTTGCTGAATTTTCCCTCCCATTAGCCCCAAACCTGCTATCACTGGCAAACAATTGTCTCATATGGATGGCGAACCTATGGATAATCCAACTCTCTACCGCAATGTTACTGGAGCTCTCCAAAACTTGATGCATACAGGCTCAGACATCTCTTACAGGCCCAACATCCTCCCATTGACAGGCTATTAAAGGGTGCTCCAGAAGGGTACACTTGAATTACGGCCTTTTCTCTCTAAATATAAAAATTTATCTTTGGTTGCATATTGTGATGCAAACTACAAACGCAAGTCCACAGCTGCACATTGTATTTTCCTTGGCCACTCATTTGTGTCGTGGTGTTCTAAAAAGAAACATGTGGTTGCCCGTCCTAGACCTGAGTCTGAATATTGTGCTCTTGCTCATAATGCAGCTGACTTAAGCTTAGATTCAATCCCTCCATGGTGAATTATAGTTGTTGCCTTCTCCTCCTCCCATTATATGGTGCGATATTGTGAGTGAATTATCTCTTGCAGCCAGTCTCGTTTTTCATGCTGCAACAAGCATGTCGAGCTCGATGTCCATTTCGTGCAAGATAAGGTCATTGCAAAGACTCTCGATGTTGGGTATGTTCCCTCCTCAAATCAACTTGTTGATGGGTTAACAAAGCCTTAGTCTGAAGTTGATTTTTGTGGGTTGTGTTCCAAACTCGATGTGACTGCATTACCCTCTCATTTGTAGGAGAATGTTAGAGAAAAAGATTGATCTGACGTCATTTCTCTCTATTCTCATTTACTAGCAAATGCTGTTGCTTGATTTGTTATACTTCTTATTGTTTCTGGTTCCTTGTACCACATGGCTCTCTCTCATGGGGTGGCAAATATTCTTCCCATCCTCTTGTGTATTATTTATACTCAGCCATAAGGCATGAAATAATTCATTCGAGCTTCCTACTCTATTCCACTAGATAGAAATCCTGAAAATTCACTAACTTCAATGGCCATATTTCCCATCATTCAGGCCAAGGAATGCAGCCCAAACATCAACCAAATACTAAATCTCATTCCTATGACAATCATTACGCCAACGAAACACCTCTGAAAGAATTCTGAACAGCGACGGGCCGGGTGGAAATAAATATTCGCTCACGGGCAGAGCAAAGAAGGAAGGAAACCAACCCCACCCCCCCCCCCCCCCCCCCCCCCCCCCCCCCCCCCCCCCCCCCCCCCCCCCCCCCCCCCCCCCCCCCCCCCCCCCCCCCCCCCCCCCCCCCCCCCCCCCCCC